TCACCTTCTGTTCTCCAAAGTAAGAAAAGGAAAAGGAAACATTGAGGAAAACATACTATTTATTCCCAAGCACTTCACATAATCTCTTCCAATGGCAGTTTAAATGTTATTAGGACCACCCCAGCCAGGGGGCTCAGTTGGTTGGAGTATCACTCCATACACCAAAAGGTTATGGGTTCAATTCCCAGTCAGGGCACATGCCTGGGTTGTGGGTTTGATCCCTGGTCAGGGCACATGGAGGAGGCAGCCAATCAATGTTTTCTCTCACATTGATGTTACTCTCCCCCCACCTCTCTCTAAAAAATCAATTAAAAAAACATCCTCGTGTGAGGATGAAAAAAAAAGTTATTAGGACTAAAAGCTGGCTTCCTCTTCTGACATAATCAGTTCTTAGTTATTGATTTGCTGGATATAATCTATTTGCTCTTCCAGGTCTACCCTCCACCCTCTTTTGTGCTGCAAGAGGCTGACTGTTTAAACTGAATGGACTGGTTCCCTTATGCTCTGTCTTCCTGTCAGGTTTCGCTAAAGAAAAGCACCAGCAGGGGTCAAAGCAAAGAAAGGGTCACCACAACTAGCTCATCCATAGGCCACAGCTCCTATCAGGAGGGGTCCCCACAAAGCCTCCCTCCACCCCCCCCCCCCCCCCCCCCGCCACACAGCTGCTGGTAACAGCTTCTTCCCTTGCCCCTTTAGAACCAGTGGTGGTGCCCCCCCCCCCCGCATGCCCCCCCCCCACCCCCCGCCCGCCCGGTTGTCCAGCCCCAGGGACTGCAGTAACTCTTGTCGTTAGAACTCTAAATTCTACCCGCACTTTGTAAACCACTTCTTTGTTGAAATCTCCTCAAATTGGAAACCAATCTGCTTCCTGCTGGGACCATGATTTCTCAAGGTGATTCCTAAAGAATCCTAACTCTAATGATAAAACACATTAGGGGAAAAAAAAATTTATTTTTTTTATTTCACCCATCAAGAAAATTTTGGAAACACAGGATGAAACAAAAAATGGGCTGTTTCTAGGTATTACAGGCTGCATTTCCCAGGCCTGTTTGGTCACAGACCTTCCTCCTTGTTTTAAGAGCATCTGTGCAGACTAGTGTTCCACAGAATACCCGTAGGGAAAGTGTGATTTATACTAAAAAAAAATAGAGAAGAAAGATATATATAACTTTATATGATTTCTAAGAATGCTCAAATTATATTTTGGCTTGAAAGTATGGCCAGTCACTCCCTGATGGCATGCACACACCCTCCCACCTGGCCTGAGTCCACTGTTAACACCCCCGGACCCAGCTTTCGGACTTGAAGGTCATCTGCAGGCCTAGAAATGCCTCACCAAGGAAGTTTGCCATCAGAGAAGTGCAGTCTTGAACCACTGCAGCTTCCCGAGCCTCACTGGACGGAGGACAAAGAAATCAACTGTAGACAAATGTTTTCAGAGGGAAAGGGCATGGAAGCCAAGGAACTGGAGTCTGCATTTCATGATCTGCGCATGTGGCACCATTCCATAGAACACACTATTTTCAAGTTGAGGATTTCAGAAACGCTGAACTTGGGAAAACCTGAAACATGGCCTTTCTCACCTTCAAGACTACACTTGAGTCATTCCAGTCACCAATAATCTATTTTTAAAAATTTTAAACTTCCAAGCAGATCATGCTGCTCTTCCCTTTTTTTAAATCCCTGGTTATATCCTCAGTAGGACCTCCCACCCCAAACAGTGATTGTTAGTTTAACTTCTGTCTCTTGAAGCAGAGTGTAAGCACTCTGAAGGGAGAAAATAAACCTTTTTACTTTGAAAGCCTTGACACTTGACACAGTATATGCTTAATAAACATGTCTGAGCAAATAGAAAAATATTAGCTGAATGAATAAATGTCCCTTTGGTAACCTATTTCACTATCAATCCTGTCATGAAGTTTTTCTTAATATCAATTTAAATACCATCTTGGGATTATAAAAATCCCTAATAGATACTAGAAGCTACAACTCTGGGCAATTTAAGTACATTTTAAAAAGTAAACTTTTCTTGGTTTTTGTTCATTGTATTTCTTTTTCATCTTTAGTGAAGAACAATATAGAACCATCTTGCTGATGTATTTCAATTTCATAAACATTAAAGTAAGTAAAACTGCTTCTCCTGGACCAGGACAAATGTCTGCCGGGGGTGGGCGGGCAACGTAAACGAGTGAGCCTGGTATCTGGGGGTGAGGGCCAACACTAAGGCCCAGGATTGTGTGCTGCCTTGACCTCTAGTGAAATAGGGAGGGCCTCCCCTGGCCCAACCAACAGCTCCCCACCCACTCTGCTCCCCTAGATAAGGCCCCCTAGCCAAACAACACTCCTCATCAGGCTGACGGGGTACACATCCTGCGCACCCCTGAGTAGAGTCATTAAAACAAGCCAACCACGTCTTCCCACCTGCACCGCCGTGCCTCACCCATTTGATACTTAAAGGCCTGCCTCCCAAAGCCCCTGCTAACTAGTACTCTGTTGCTAGCGCAACCCTCCCATCGCCCTGCATGGCCTGCCCTGTCCTTCTCCCCCTGGGACTGTGAGTATATGAGAATAATAAACTGCTGTCGATCTCATCTGTCCAGTGTTGGGTGTCCAGTGCTCAGCTGTCCCATGTTCCTAGGGAAGAAATCCCTCGTTCACCTTTGGGGTGAACAGGAGGTGATTAGAACAGCTGCCAGAGGAAGACTGTAGCAGTACCTGGCCTTACTTAGTGCCTTTGACCTAGGCAGTGGTGGGCACATGGAGGAGTGGACAGGACATGCCCAACTTAGGTAGCAGTTGCTATCTAGTCTATCACTGACAGGCAGGAATGAGGGCTCAGAACTGCCAAATTTACAAAACAAAAACAAAAAAAACTCCACAAATCTCAATTTCCAAATCTCCTACTTTTTAAAGGTCCTTCCTTCCTTCCTCCCTCCCTCCCTCCCTCCCTTCCTCCCTCCCTCCCTTTTTCCCTCCCTCCCTTCCTTCTTTCCTTCCTTCCTTCCTTCCTTCCTTCCTTCCTTCCTTCCTTCCTTCCTTCCTTCCTCCCTCCCTCCCTCCATTCCTCCCTCTCTTCCTCCCTCCCTTTCTCCCTTCCTTCCTTCCTTCCTTCCTTCCTTCCTTCCTTCCTTCCTTCCTTCCTTCCTTCCTTCCTTCCTCCCTTCCACTGAAACAAAACCCATCTGGGGTGGTTTGATGAGGTGCCAGTTTGTAACCTCTATCTCAGAATGTAAGCCCAGTCCCTAGTCCACTGCTCTGATCCAATACCTACATAGCATTTTGCTATTCTGTCTTTTAATATCATGTGCTTTTCCTCCCAACACATCCTACTAGCATTACTAATTCAAGTTAGGCTTACCATATCCTTAACATTTAAAAAAGTAGCCATATCTGTCTATAAACCTGTATTATATATTACAGTATTCTGTTTCTCCTCCCAGCAAATTTAACTGCACTGAATTTTGTTCTGGGCACATTTTACATTCCTTCAACTACTAGGTCCATGTTGGGTTCTAATAATATCCTTCCAGGTACTTCCCAACCACACTCAGCTTGTGCTGTTCTCTCCATTATATCATTCCAAACATGAAAAAAATATCAAAGTTCATGACTTCAAAACAAGACCTCTAAAAGACTTGTTGTGTTCCTCCCAGATTGACATGACACAAATAATAACTTTCTTAATTACTTCCAGGAAATGTAATAGAGCATCCTCCCCCCACCCCCGGATGTCACTTTTCAAAGACTGGTAAATAGTCATTTCAGAAGAGTTAATATAATTGCTATGGAGGGGAAAACAACAGTTCTCTTTAACCATGCCACAACATTTTAATATGCTGATGAGTGTAAAAGCAGTTATAAAATAAAATAAAAAAACACTTTTGAAGTTCATTCATTTATTCATTCGACAAATTGTTACTGAGCACCTACTATGTACCAGTCACTATTTGAGGCACTAGGTGTTATTAGTGAAAAAATTAGAATGAAATTTCCATTCTTATTGAGTTCAGATTCCATAATATTAGGTTAGAATATAAAATGAGCTATTCCTATTCATTACAGCGATGTAAAAATATGTAAGCCAAATGGACAAAATATCAGAAAAGAATATGTAAAAATTAAAATAGTAGGTGGGTGTGGGGAAGCACGGGACTTGGTCGGCATGTCTGTAAGGAGGATTCTCCGAAAGTGGCAGCCCCTTCCTTGACTTTTCCAAACAAGTCCGATCCCCTGGGGTGTTTTGCTAGAATCTCTATGTTTAGTTTTTAAAACCCGACCTTGTAGAAGCATATACTTTCTCAAGGATACTTACCCTGCTGATTGTATCTAGAGATTAATTTGAGTTCAAGCTGTTGTGACAATAAAAGCCTAAGAAGGCAGGCAAACAGGACTGCTTTTTACTTCTAAAGTAAAACAGTCCCTTAGCCTTCTTTTTCACAGAAACATGTGTCAGAGCAATCTGTTCATCTGTTGCTCAGGGTCTGCCAGTCAGCCCCGGCAGGTGGGTAGCTAGAAGGGGTCAATGGGGAAGAATTAATATCATTGCTATGGGAAAGTTATCTGTATAACTTGCAAAAATAAAGATAAATTTTTAAGAAAGAGATGCAGTTCTACCAAAAAAAAAAAGTGGGTATATTAGAGAAGTTACAGATTATTTCTTTCTCTATTCAATATGAAATCCATGAGTTAATTATTTAAAAATAAAAAATAAACAACTCATTGGCCACCTGTAAACACTGCTAGTATACCAACGCATTATTCTGAACATTGATAAATAAAATGACCATTGTCTTAGTCCATTCAGGCAGCTATAACACAGTATCACTGACTGGGTAGCTTATAAATATCAGAAATGTACTTCTCATAGTTTTAGAGGCAGAAAGACCAACAAGGAGTACAAATAAGATCAAATGTGACATCTACTTTCAGCATCACTATGAAACAGGGAATACTATGAATTTCAAATCACCTACAAGTGGAGAAGTGGAACTTACATTCCAGCATAGCTCCCACTGCCAGTCCCGCCTAAGGATGTAGAGAGCAATGGCACAGGAGGCTTAAGAAGCTCAGGGGGGGAAAAAAATAGCAGAACACAAACAAAATTACCCTGGAAAGAAAAAGTCCAAAATAAGTGCCAAAATACTGAACACTTAGTAGCCCATGGCACCTGATGGAGGGAAGGGACTTGAAAGCGAGTAGGATCAGAAGAGGTAAAAGAGGAAATATCACTTCTCAGAGGAAAAGTGATAAAAAGGAGTAGAGCCGTTTGGAAGGTGGCAGTGAAGGAACATAAGGAAGTAAAAGGCAAAAATTAAGGATCCTGCAGAAATAAAAGAAAAATAAATCATGTCAACATCTCTCCAAACCACTACCACCACCAATATAATCATCTACTAAGAAGAAAATGCATTTACTAAAACAAGAGAAGAGAATGCTTACGAACCAGAAATTTTCCTGGAAATGCTTTGCAATAGAAAATCAAATTAAACAAATTCCATAAAAGCTTTTGTAAGTGGGAAAAAATAGACTATACGAATCAAAACATTTCAACTAAATTTTTCCTAAAGATTTTTCTCTAAAAATGCCAAGAGATTCAAACTAATTTAAATGACGTCAAACAAATATTTGGATATATTAAAAAATCTAGAATCAGAAATCTAAAAAAACAAAAACAACAACAAGAAGAAACAGAAATAGACCCAGGAAGACCTATGTAAAGGAAGAAATGCATAAGAGATTGAATGGGGGGAGGGAGGAAATTTAAAAAAAAAAAAAAAAACTATCTCAGAAATGAAGAATAAGCCTGGCTGGTGTGGCTCACTGGTTAAGCATCAACCCAAGAACCATGAGGTCACAGCTCGATTCCCGGTCAGGGCATATGCCCGGGTTGTGGGCTCAATCCTCAGTAGGGGCATGCAGGAGGCAGCTGATTGATGATTCTCTCATCATGGATGTTTCTATCTCTCTTCCTCTCCCTACTTCTCTCTCTGTAAAATCAATAAAAACATATATTTTTTAAAAGGCTAAAATGAAGGAATAGGCAAAAATATATTAAGCAAAAGGGGTTGCCATATCGATTTCAGGCTAAAAGGCATTAAATAAGACAAATGATGACACTTGATGATGCTAAAATCCATGACAGCTATGAATATCCATGTACCAACTAACCCAATAACTGCCTAATAAAGTAGAAACTACAGGAGATAGAGTGAGAAATAGACACTACATAGGATACTTTAATGACAAGTCAAGCAGATGAAAAATAAGAAACTATACAAGGAACATCTAAGCAACACAAGTCATAAGGTCAATCATGTGGATGCTACACCCTAATAATACTTAAGTTGTTGATTTTTTCATCTGTTTCTTCTAGCTTCTTCCATATGTTATCAATTTTTTCATCTGTTTCTTCTTGCTTCTTGGAGAGGTTGTCGATTTTTTCCTCCGTCCGGTTTATGCATTCTAGGACCCTTATTCTGAATTCTTTTTCTGTCATGTTGCATGCCTCTGTATTACTTAGCTGCTTTTCTGGAGAGTCCTCCTTCTCTTTTCTTTGGGGGTTTCTTTGTCTACCCATGTTTGATCTCACTGACATATCTAGACGTTGAGTCGTTCAGTGGCTGCTCCCTTGGTGGCAGTGACTCCTTGGTCTGTGGTTGCTCTTCGGGCGGTTGCGGTAGCAGCTGCTCTTCAGTTGGCAGCAGCTCCTCTGGTGGGTGCTGTTCACAGCTGTGGTGGCTCTTCTGGCTGGTGGGGCGAGGTTTCACGTACAGCTGCTGTTCCTCAGCAGAGGGTGTGGTGCTCAGGAGGTTGCTGTTGCTTGGATCTGCTGCGTTGATTTAAAGGCACAAAATACAACACAACAAGGCACCACGTACCAGGCACTATACACAAATATATTCACGATATGAATAACCCCAAATAAAGGTGACCACCTGAATTAAGAGAATTAGGGGATAAGGAAGAAGGAAGAGAAAAAGAGAAAAGAGAAAAAAGAAAAGAAAATTAGGGACCAAAAAAAGGAGTGCAAAAATGAAATTGGGAAAAAGGAGGGGGGAAAATAAAAGCGAGAAAAGAAAAGAAAAGAAAAAAAAAAGAGCGAAAAGAGAGAATGAAGTGGAAGAGGGGAAGAGACTTTTTTATATGAGGAGAATACTCCTATAGAACAGCCATTAATCCCAACAAATTCCAGCAACAGCTCCCTGGAGATGAATGCAAACTAGAAACAACCAATAATATAACGATGAAAATAGAATGGAGAACACTAATCCCAAAATAAAATAAAGAGAAAATAAAATGGCACTTTAAAAAAAAAAATGGTAAAATGGTAGCAGTAATAATACTGGTTAAAAATAAGAAGGTAGTAATTAAAAGGGTAAAATCAGGTGATGGAAAAAAGAAGAAAAAAAAAAGAAAAAAGAAAAAAAAAACAAGAAGAAAACAAAAAAAAGAAAAAAAAAGAAAAAAAAATTGGTTTCTTAGTTAAAAGGTGAAAAAAAAAAATATTGCAGTAGTGAAGGTCCTTCGGTTCTTCTATTCTTCAGTGTGGCTCGCCTTAGACCTGCCAGGTATTCAGGAGAGTGTTGAGTTTCCCTGCAATACACTGTTCCTCTGTGTTGTAAACCACAGTCCTTATTTTAAAGCAAGCCGCATTTGTTTCCCAGACTGCCTTATTTTGTGTTTAGCAAAGAGTCAGTTTGTGGGTCAGCCTCTGGGTGGCAGTGTTCTGGGGTTGGCCTCTGAGGCTATAGGGCCTCTCTGTCCAGTGGAAGTTCACTGCCCAGAGCTGGCTGCGTAAGAGTTACCAGTGCTGTGTTGTTGCTGGGATTGAAAATCCCTCTATAGGCCAGACCCTGTTAACTCCCAGGGACTGATCAGGTTATTTTAATCCTTGATCTCCTACAGGGTGGAATCTGGGTGTGGCTGTGCTCCTTGCCTGGGGGCTGGGGGGAGGAGTCTCACTCTCCGGAGAGAATGGCTGCCTCAGCCCTGGGCTCAGGGGTGTCTCAGCACTCAATTTGCTGCCACCTCTCCCTGCCCCCCTTCTCTCCTCAGTCTCTCCCCAGATTCCACTCCTCCGCACACTCTCCCTCTCTTCAGCACAGGTGAGTGTCTGTATCCGAAATGTCCCATGAACAGGATTCAGTGAAAACAAACAAACAAACGCCGGCCGCGGAAACGGGGAAGGCTTGGTTTCTGTAAGCTTCTTCTCTTACCGGGACTGCATGGTCTGGTCAGCTCTTCAGGCTGCCCCCTTTAGGCTCAGTCCTCTGTGATCACAGACCCAGCTCTCAATTCCCCTGGCAGCGCCAGGAATCCCGCGGTTCTCCTTTCCCCCGTCAGGGGCTGTGCCTGTCCCAAGGGACGCGGCAGTCTGCCACACGGTCTCCCTCCAACTCTCTGGGCTTAGAGGTCTGGCGAACTTTCCTGCCCAAATCCCTGGTTTTTTTACCTTTCCAGGGGAGTTCTGCTCTTCCCGGCTGCAAACCGTCTCGCCAGCTGAGGAATTTCGCCAATTCGGGGTGGATGTTACTAGTTTCAGCTGCTCACTCCATTTGCTCAGGGACATGACCTGGGACGCGTCTGCCTATACCGCCGCCATCTTCATAATCTCCCACCCTAATAATAAAGAACATTTTTTTTTAAGTATAGTGGAACATTCAAAAAATTAATCACATTTTAGGTCACAAAGAAAACATCGAGTTTCATAAAATAGAAATATTGCACACAATACTATGGCATTACAAGCAATAAAACTAGAAAATTTAAAAGAGAAATTGTACAATAAAAAGCCACTTCTGGTTGTGGGCACGTCCCCAGTGGGGAGTGTGCAGGAGGCAGCTGATCGATGTTTCTCTCTCATCGATGTTTCTAACTCTCTATCCCTCTCCCTTCCTCTCTGTGAAAAATCAATAAAATATATTTTAAAAAAGAGAATATTAAAAAAAAAGTTAAAAAGCCACTTCTCCTGGAAATTTAAGTCTTCTATTACACAAGTCTTGAGTGAAATGAGAAATATAAACATAGGTTAAGAATCTCTGAAAAAAAATGATGACCATGAAAACTGTGTATCAAAATCTGTGGGTATGTTTGAAGCAGTGACCAAGGAGAATTTCTAGCTTTTTGCTGTAGGCGGAAAATAATAAAGACATATTCACGTCCTAGTTCCTAGAACCTGAGAATGTTGTCTCTTTGGCAAAAGTGATTATTGAATGAAGAATCTTGAGCAGAAGAGCTTATTCTGGATCATCCAGACCAGACAGGCCCTAAATAGCATCACATGCATCCGAATGTGAAAGAGGCATAGAAAGACAGACACTAAAAAGAACAAAGGAAGCCCTAACCGGTTTGGCTCAGTGGATAGTGCCTCAGCCAGCGGACTGAAAGGTCCCAGGTTCGATTCCGGTCAAGGGCATGTACCTTGGTTGCGGGCACGTACCTTGGTTGCGGGCACATCCCCAGTAGGAAGTGTGCAGGAGGCAGCTGGTCGATGTTTCTCTCTCATTGATGTTTCTAACTCTCTATCCCTCTCTCTTCCTCTCTGTAAAAATAATCAATAAAATATATTTTTTAAAAAAGAACAAAGGAAGAATGAAGATGGCAGCGTAGGTAAAGGCCAGTACTTGCCACCTCCCACAACCACTTCAAAATTACAACTAAAATACAGAACAACCATCATTCAGAACCACCTGAAAGCTGCTGCATGGAAGTCCTACAATGAGAGAAGTAAAGAAGAAAGCACATGGAGACGGGTAGGAGGGGCAGAAGCACGGAAGGGGCTGGTCCGACACCCAGGTGCGGTTTTTCTAATTGGGAAAGACAGCTCGGCTGTGGAGGCCTCCCCTGAGGAGCAAGGGGTCCCAGCCCCACAACAGACATCTCAGCACAGGGTTCCAGAGCTGGGAAGAGAAGTCACCTTAACTTCGGTCCATAAAAACCAGCAGGGCCCTAGCTAGTTTGGCTCAGTAAATAGAGCACCAGCCTTCAGACTGGAAGGTCTCAGGTTCTATTCCAGTCAAGGGCACATGCCTGGGTTGCAGGCTTGATCCCCAGTGGGGGGCGTGCAGGAGGCAGCTGGTCAGTGATTCTCTCTCATCATTGATGTTTCTATCTCTCCCATTCCCTTCCTCTCTGAAATCAATAAACATACATATTTTTAAAGAAAGATATATTCACTGCAGGCAAAGGACAAAATGAGACTCTCAATACTTTAGGATCTAATTACCTTCAACTAGACAAAGATCCTGTCTTCTTCCACAGGTGGTTAAGCTTGCCCTTCTTTTTATTTTGTTTGTTTTAGGTTCTGTACTTGATTAATTTTGTGGCCACAACTGATATGTTTGCAAAAATATATAAGTGGGCATTTTAAAACTCAACAAACTCGCTTTAATTTTTCACAGTTCTTATAAAATCTTCAAGAAGAAAGCAGTAAGCCCTAACCGGTTTGGCTCAGTGGATAGAGCGTTGGCCTGCAGACTCAAGGGTCCCAGGTTCCATTCCAGTGAAGGGCATGTACCTTGGTTGCAGGCACATCCCCAGTGGGGAGTGTTCAGGAGGCAGCTGATCAATGTTTCTCTCTCATTGATGTTTCTGACTCTATCCCTCTCCCTTCCTCTCTGTAAAAAATCAATAAAATATTTTTTTAAAAAAAGAAGAAGAAGAAAGCAGTAATTAGACTGGCACCCCTGTGAGTGCTCAGTGACATGAAAAGGTTGTTAAAGGGAGACTTCGGAGGGAAGCAAATTCAACCATCAGGGACCAACACAGGCTGCAGGACTCAGTCTTAAGGTCAGTCACATCTGAGCAGAGAACCCCTTCCGATTCCAACTCAAAATCACACATCAGGGAGCCAAGGGTCATTTCTCAGTTTGCTGACAATGCCAGGATTCTAATAAATTAGTTCAAAGGTATCTGAATATGCCCCCATTGCAGCTGCTAATGATTGCTGAGTGTGCAAAATGGACTCAAGTTCATTAAAGTATTTTTTCTTTATATCGTCATATGTATGCAATGCATACACCTCAACAGGTCATGATAATGATTTAAAACAGTTATGCTGTCATTTTTATAAACTAATTTTCTTTTTCATACTGACCTTGCCTGGATTTGCTATCAAGGCAAGACTGGCCTCATAGAATGAGTTTGAGTTTTCTGTTCTCTAAAAGGACTTGTGGAAGTTTATGCCTTGAAAATTGGGCAGGACTCACCTGTAAAACAATCTGAGCCTGGAGTTTCCTTTCATGATGAAATATTAACTGCTAGTTGAATTCTTTAATAGTTTTAGAACTATTTGGGCTTTCTATTCTTTTTCACACAGTTTGTTTCTGATATGTGTGGAAGAGGTTAATTCTGGAAAACTTAAAGCCCTTATCTCTTTAAATATTGCCTCACTCTAGTCTCACTTTCTGGGACTCCAATTAGATATATATTTTCTCATATATCTACTTCTTTTTCAGATTTTCTAATTCCTTTTCCCCCTCAGCTGTGGTAATTATGTCTATATCTAATCTACTCTTAAACCCACTCACTGAGTTTTTAAATTTTGAACAATCGTATTTTCCAGTTCCAGAAATTCGCTTTTATTTTCAAGTCTACCTATTCATTCCTGATAGTCTTTGGTTGCTTGCTCATTTTTGCAACTGTGCTGATTATTTCTTCAAATATTTTGAGGATAGTTGCCTTCTATTCTGTAGCTGACAATTCTGACAACTGAAGTCTATGGAGTCTAAATCTGTTGCTTATTTTTTTCAGATGATTCTCATTCATAATGGCTTACCTTCCAATGTGCAGAGTGATCGTGACTGAAATGATTGCTTAATATACAAACTGAATAGTTGAAGATTTCCTCCAGAGACAACCGCTTCTGCTTCTGGTCACGCTGACTGTCCCAGGCTCAGTTTCTTCAACTGGCCACCAGACCAAGGCTCAATATCTTGGTTGTAGTGCAGCAACTGACATGTGCCTTCAGGGAAGCTCTGCCTCATGCTTTTATTGCTCCGACTCTGCCGGTTGTCGTATTTGTGGGTAGAGGGTTCTTGGAGACGCCTACTGCCTATTATGAGGCCAGAGATGCCTAAGAAAGTATGTCCCGGAGAGCCACACTGCATAGCAGACATCCGACTGCAGTAGTTTGTTCTCTGTTTACTTGGTTAAGCTGCACCTATGTTTCCCAAAATCCTCTCCTCCTGTGGCTGTGGGTTTGAGGTGACTGAGAACTTGGTGTGATATTGAGACGGCAAAAGTGAAGCAATGGCCATTACTCTCTGCAAGTTGTTATAGTCAGACATGGTGACAGGAATATGCAAAGGTGCCCTGCAGGATGGAGCGTGTCCTTGCTCTCCTCTGCTCCATGTTCAGTTCTTCTTCCCAACCCCTGGCCCTGTGGACCAACAGCAGCCCGACACCTATCACCAGCCACACAGGTGGTAGCTTCCCACAGACCTGCCCAGGAGGTTCCCATCACTGTACGTGCGTGGTTCTCTACACCTGGCCGCTGACCTTTCCTCCAATGATCTGACTCCCTCCTGGACCTTCACTTCCCCTGCTCCTTCTCAACTGCAGAAGATCTAACTCCTATAAAATCCCTTACCCAAAAGCACTCCTAATGTCTCTTCTCTTCAGACTGCACTCTGAGATACCCCCATGGCTTTTTTATTAGCTTAATTAATCTTTTTTTTTTTCAAAAGCCCAGAACATGCATATATAAAGCTTTCATTAAACCAATGAACCTTTACTGTGCCCTGCTTTATGCTAGGCACTGTTCCAGTCTCTGAGGGCATTTTACTTTTAAATTGATGGGAGAGGGAGAGGGAGAGGGAGAGGGAGAGGGAGAGGGAGAGGGAGAGGGAGAGGGAGAGGGAGAGGGAGAGGGAGAGGGAGAGGGAGAGGGAGAGGGAGAGGGAGAGGGAGAGGGAGAGGGAGAGGGAGAGGGAGAGGGAGAGGGAGAGGGAGAGGGAGAGGGAGAGGGAGAGGGAGAGGGAGAGAGAAGAAACATTGATTGGTTGCCTTCTGGACATTCCCTGACTAGGGAACCTGCAACCGGGGTATGTGTCCTGAGCAGGAATCAAACCTGCCACCTGATGTACGAGATGATGCTCCAACCAACTGAGCCACACTGGTCAGGGCTCTGAGGGCATTTAAAAGATGGCTTCCAGTGAAAGACAAACACATAGAATCACAATGTTATGAGGTAAATTTAAATGGTAAAACTCAGGAGCATTTGAGATATTGCTCCCTGGCATATGTCATCGGTTTTGGCTCAAATAAACTCTTATTAAAAAAAATTTAAATGATAGAACTCAACAATCACCCAGAAGACAGGCTTCCAATCCAGCTGGGTTTGTCAGAGAAGACTTTAAAATGAAGAAACCACCGAAACCGGTTTGGCTCAGTGGATAGAGCGTCGGCCTGTGGACTGAAAGGTCCCAGGTTCGATTCCGGTCAAGGGCATGTACCTGGGTTGTGGACACATCCCCAGTAGGAGATGTGCAGGAGGCAGCTGATCGATGTTTCTCTCTCATCGATGTTTCTAACTCTCTAGCTCTCTCCCTTCCTCTCTGTAAAAAATCAATAAAAAATATATTTTAAAAAAAAATTCAGAAACCCTTGAAGTGTTGAAATAAGTCTCTCAGACTTGAGAAAAGTAAGGCTTCTTCTTTGAAAGGGTTTGGTGTGTTGGTGGGTTGTATTGACAATTCTTCACCGTTTTTCTCTATCACAACTCAAAACACCTGTGCTGTAGCAGTCTGTGCTATATTTAGTTTGCAAGTAGTGACTTAGTTTTATCCAAGCAATACCATTTGTCATATAAAATTAAAGTTGTTAATTTAGAACGAATGGGTTTTATAGTTCTTTATATTTCATTTGTGACTATGTTTTGGTTTTATTAGTCTAATAAAAAATTTATACCTAACTTATGTATATACATATTTAAGTTACATTATCATATAATTAATTCAAGTCAACTCCAGATGCAATGAGTTGTTTTTTCTTTAGGAGAAATCTCTATGTTGCTCAGGTTTGAGAAACATGAGGAGTCGTCCTTACCTTCCTCTCCCTCACCATCCTACCCTCCTTCCCCAAGAGACAATCACCAAGTCATGCTAATTTCACATCATGACCATTTCTCCTTCCCTCCTCCACCTTCACTATCCTTATCTTACCTGAGTCCTTCAGTGGTTTGTCATCCCAGCATCTACAGGATCAATGCAAGCTCCTGCCTATGGGCCTCTGCACTGTGTCTGGCCTTCAGCTGGTACCGTGTGTCATTGATCTCAACCTGCCGCTGTTCTTTTCTCATACATGCATGACGGTTATCACAAATGCATGTCCCCAACACAGCCGTTACAAACACAGATGCATATGTGGGCAGAACTTCATTATAAGGTGATCAGCTTGATGACCTAGAATATGTTTACATTTTAAAAATTATCATCATAATAAAAAAACAAAACGTTCAAAATTCTCACAGATCACTCATGAACAATCCCCTCTCCCTGTTGAATAAAGCCCAAGCAAAGCATAGCACAGTAGCCCTCAACCCAGGCTACACCCATGAGTAAGGGATCCTCAATTTAAAGTTTAAAAGTTTTAATAACCAATAATACCACCAACTAAAGCAATTATTATGTATGATTTAACAGAAAATTAACTCAGAAACTATGTAGGGAAAAAGAGAGTTATTATTACACAGGGTGAGATGTTATACTAATTTTACAGTCTTGGCAATACTTATAAGGAGTTCTAATAACACAAAAAGCATCCAAATGTATTCTGCCTTTCCTCATTCTCTCCCAGAGTTCCTCCAGTTGTTAGCCTAAATAATTGCCTTAGAATACCATTGTTATTCCCATATGCGGCTGCTAGAAACTTGTCCTGGAGACCTATAAAATTTAGGTGGTCTGCTTCTTCAAAGGAAAATGTTAACTCTATTGATGGGTTGATAATTTTGGAATGAAATAAGTTGCTGAACAAGGTATATTCATTCACTTACTCATTTATCAAATATTTAACAAGCAACCATAACATGTCAGAAACCATTTGGCAGTAGGGACCCAGGACCTGTACTGGACAAGACAAACAGTCAATGACAACAAGTGGTTAAATAAGTAAATGACATAAGTTCTGATATAGTAAGTACTAAAGAAAAAATAAGCCAGGTAAAGAAAGAGACCCACTGGAGGTGGCTAATTTTGGTAGTCAGCCCTACAAATTCTCAGATAAATACACAGACTTTTTTTTTCTGCACTAAAAATTTCTGACTCCCTCTCCCATCCAGGTGTTAAGAGATTGAGGCTCAGGCTTAGAATCTGACTTATTTGTTCCCCTTTGGAACACATGGGAATAGTTGGAAAAAATTTGCATGGGGTTACTGAAAAAAAAAAGTAATAATTCCAACCACCTGTTATTTCTAAGCAGAAGGAAGCACAAAGACTTTTTTTAATTAATTATTAAAAAGCTTCTTATTGCAATAGGTCTACAATGCCGAACAAACAAAACATGGGCTTGAATATTATTCAGCAATATAAAAGAAGGAAATCCTGCCATTTGCAATAACATGGATGGACCTTGAGGGCATTATGCTAAGTAAAATAAGTCAGACAGAAAAACACTAATATCATATGACTTCACTTATATGTGAAATCTGAAAAAAAAAAACACAACTAACTAATAGCTACAGAGAACAGATTGGTAGTTGCTAGAGGCAGGAAGTGTGATGGGGGTGCAAAGTAGGTAAAGTCAGTCAAAAGGTACAAACTCCCAGTTATAAAATAAATAAGTCCTGGGAACATAATGTACAGCATGGTGACTATAGTTAATAATACTGTGTTGTATAATTAAAAGTAGAGTAGATCTCAAAAGTTCTCATCACACACACAAAAATTGTAACTATGGGTGAGGATAGATGTTAACTAGACTTATTATAGTGATCATTTTTCAATATATACATATATCAAACTATAACATTGTAGTAATATAATGAACTAATATAATGTTATATGTCAACTATACTTAATAAAAAATAAATAGAATAAAATTAGGTCCCAACTATGAGATCTTGTCACTGTGAGTTCAACAGCAGTTGAGATTTAGAGATCTGGCCTATAGTTAAAAGTTGCTTAGGTATCACCTGGCCAGCATGGCTCAGTGTTGAGTGTCAACCTATGAACCAGGAGGTCACGATTTGATTCCTGTTCAGGGCACATGCCCAGGTTGTGGGCTCAATCTCCAATGTGCGGCATGTAGGAGGCAGCTGGTCAATGATTCCCTCTCATCATTGATGTTTCTATCTCTCTCTTCCTCTCCCTTCCTCTCTGAAATCAATCTACACTAATAAAAGAGAAAGATGCAAATTGACCATACCTTCACAACACCCACCAGCCAATCAGGAGTGAGTATGCAAATTAACCCAACAAAGATGCAGGTTAATTTGCATGTACAGGCGCTGAGCACCCGGAGGCAGGGCAGGATGCTTGTGTCGTCGCCATGGCAACAACATAGGCATTCTGCACCGCCCTAGTCGCTCCAGGCAGCGAGGGAAGGTGGAAAGGCGGCTCTGTCCAGAGCAAAGGCAGTGTTGGCAGCCAGGGGAAGGAAGGCCCGTTCTTGCATGAATCTTTGTGCATCAGGCCTCTAGTAAAAATATATTTTTTAAAAAGTTGTCTAAGTGTGATCAGATATTAAGGTCTAACATCTCTGACCCGGCAACTCCACATCTTCCCAGGGCATGACCAACTTACAAGGTGTAGTAGACACCCATGCTCAACATGACTCCTAAAGTTCTTCCAGCAGAATGCTCCTAGGTTCTGGCAGCTTATGAACAGATAAGAGTTTCTCTAACTTATAGTATTGTACTTCCCGGAAAGCTTTATGAAGAGTGGGAGCTAATCTCAGGGGCTAATCAAGAAATCCTGCTGGAAGACTGGGACTAATATCTAAGAAACTTATACCTAAAGCAGTTTCTCAAAGCCATGACCAATGGCATCACTATCATCTGAGAACTTGTTAGAAGAGCAAATTACAGGGCACTATCCCACACACATTGAATCGGAAATCATGGTGGTGAGGCCCAGCAATTTATATTTAACAAGACTTCCGGAAAATTCTGAGCCAGATTTAGAATTTAAGAACCATTGATCAAAGGCATTCTAAAAAGACATTGTCAGTTTTACCAAGAAGCAGCACAACTGGAAACAACCTGGTGGACAGCACACCTAAAAATTCCAAGAATATGGCAAGCTGATGGAAAAAGTAAAGAATTAAACTTTGTTTTCTAAGAACTGGGTGCTATAATATATGGAACCATTTAGTTCTCTGGTCTAAGTAGTTGGGCAGAATCTGGGTCCAGATCTGGACAAAAGGCAGGGTTGTTGCTGACGCCAGAGAAGCAACTACCAATAAAATAAGTTCCAGAACAGCAGCAGACTTTAATATTTAATGGTAGAACTAGAGGCCCAGTGCATGAAATTCGTACACAGGAGAAGGGGTCCCCACAGCCCAGCCTGTAACCTCTCCAATCAAGGACCCCTCGGGGGATGTCTGACTGCCTGTTCAGGCCCAATCCCAGGGACATCCCTCTCACAATCCTGGACCACTGTCTCCTAATCATTCACCTGCCTGCCTACCCGGTCACCCCTAACTCCCCCCATCCCCATCAGCCTGATCACCCTCACTGCCTCTGCATGTTGGCCTGATCACCCCTAACTGTCCCCGCTGCCAGCCTGGTCACCCCTCACAGTCCTTTCCCCCCCCCCCCCCCGCCAGCCTGATCGCCCCACACAGCCTGCTTGTTCAGTTGTTTGGTTGACCCTCACTAACCCCAATGCAGGCATGGTCATAGGTAGCCATCTTTGTGAGGGCATGACGGTTAATTTGCATATTACCTCTTTATTATATAGGATTGGCCATTCTCATGTTCCACCCATACTATGACACATTGAAGACACATCAATTTGCTTTAAACACAATCCCATCCTGCCTATAAATTATTATCTTGCACCTCAAATATGGCACACATTTAAAAAAGACATTATTGTTGTTTTTTTGGTCTCTGTGTCTGGATTCAATTGTTTGCTGCAGAATGCCCAAAGTAATCACAAATATTTGGCTGTGCAAAGAGGATAGTGCTCAAGTACAAATGGGCGACATGATTTCCTTTAAATAAACACTAAACACACCCTGGTCCTCCAAGCACCTGGGCTCTAGGCCTGTGGATCCAGAAGGACGTCAGGGTTCCTCTCCCCCCAATCAATGCATGGAATCAGGATGCCAGTGGTCATCAAAATAATGAGTTCATTCTAGAGCCATTCCCAGAGCGCTACACATGATCTGGCTTGTCAAGGACATTGGAATTTCTGGAAGACCAATGGTCCATAACAGTGAAGTATTCCATGCAGCTCTCCTGGTCCATGTTTAGGTGAGGGTTGCACCTAGATGACTTCCTCCAGCTGGTCCTATATGACCAGCATATGGATCTGTGATTTTTGCTAATGCAAGGGCCATTCATTGCATTCACAGCTGTGTCCTTCCCCATGCAAGAATGTGTTAGGCTGCCAGTAATTCCTTCTCTGTGAGAGCCAAGGAGAAAGCCTCCTTGTGTCACTCTTCAGGTAGTGGCTTCCATAAACTCTTGGACTCCAGCAGCACAGGAAATCTGGTCCCCTGGTATTTTCTCAAGAAAAATAGAAAACAAAAACACTAAGAAATTACATCCTCCAAGATAATTGTCATTAGTAACTAAAGAATTGGTAGAGAAATGCAGAGCTTGCAATCAAGCACACTTGTGGCCCTGATTTCAGAACCTTGGATTGGCTACAAGAAACCCTTTCTAGGCTAATTCCAAAGATTATGGAAGGATTGTATTCTACAGCCTCAAGCATCTGTGAACTAAAAAAGTCAGGCAAAATGGTAAAGACAGTGAAATTCACCTTTGGTCCCCCCTCCCCACACTTCTTTTTGTAATCCTCTCCCACCTCCAGGTAACCCATCACCACCCACATTCAATCAGTCAAATTATTCCACCTTTGCATGTCTCACTCATCACCTTGACCCAAATGTCTAAGGCTGGGTGAAAACAGCCTTGTCAGATTTCATAAATGTGCAACGATGGCTCAACCTGAAATCAGACACTCTGTCACAAGGGAAACAGAGCTTGTCAAAGAAATTCATATTAAAATTGGGTAGCTCTCAAATTACAGCTTAGAAAACTTTATTTTTAGAGATAAGTTTTATACTTTATACTTTGTACTGTTTCTCAAAAACTAAACTTTAAAAAATGGCACTTCATTTTAAAAACCATAATTTTACTATTATGGATCCATTAAAATTTTTATCTGTCAATAATTAAAAATCATTTCTATTTTTAAAGAATTTTAATTTTTAGACTCTATTCTGCTTACTCTTAAAGTTGAATAAAGTTAATTTCTTGCCCTGTAAAACACTTCATTCTTTTGCCATATCTAAAATAAACTAATGTATATGTCCTTTCCATTCAAATTCCAGTCACTTACCAGTTGGTAAAACTAGATATATGGTCCTCATGTTGCTTCAATGAAGTCAACATTCTCAACATTGCTCTCAATGTTGTTGAAGTATATTTTTGAACATATGTATATATATTTGAAACATATATTTGAATAGTATATATATTCGAATATATTTTTTAAGATCTTTGAAAATATGTCCTTGAAAAGTCTATTTCCAGGAGTCCAGTTTCCAAGTTTTCTTTCCTCGTCTTTTCTTTTTTTTCTTTCTGTTTCTCCCTGACAACAAAAGGGCTAAGGAAAATAAACTAAGGGTGAAAATATTTACAGGGTGTAATTCATCTAGGACTTCTATTTAAAGGAGAGTGTGAGATTCGGGACTTTTGTTTACGAGTTTTGTTTCCACCTTACCAAGTATGGAAGGTCTCTTGATGCTTTCTTTACCATCTTGCGGTGGCCTGTCATCCTGCTGTCCCAGGAAGGGGAGAACAATCCACTTATGAGGATAGGTGGGAACAGTATGCCCCCAACAGTCTTGCCAAAAAAAAGCACACAGGCCTGGCCAGTGTGGCTCAGTGGTTGAGCATCGACC